AATTTGTTGATGGCGGTGTTGCTAATATAAAATTTAGAAAGGGGATGGTCATGATCGAAGAGGGAATGAGCGGAATCATAGATGAGAGAAGCAGTAGGTGGGACCCGATATGGTGGCCACCGTCTGTGAGAGCGCGATACGAATGATAGATGGATAGGAGTGGCTTGCTACTTTGGATGGCGTGTTTTTTCATTTTCATGGGAGGCTAGCCTATACCTATATACATTGCTCGTCCTAGGAGCAAGTTTAATAAAATAGGCATAAAACAATTGGTTTTTTAGTTATCTCTACATGGTTTTCAAAATAATTTTATTTACTAACAGGTCCCACCACATTTCTCTTCTATTCAAATCATGCTTCTAGCATAAAAAAAAACAACTGGAACCCTACAAATCAACAAACATTGGTGCATAGCACAAGCACCTGTGATCAGCTCGGCGACACATGCATCACCAATCTCTCCTTCTCTCTCATCTTTTGTCCCTCTTTTTATATATGCTGGAACGTGAGATAAAAAGAGACAAGAGAGAAGATTGTTGCAGCAATAGCACTTCCGAGCACAGCTGAAGCCAAGCTACATGACAGTTAGACCTAGCTAGAAGAAATGGCAAACGAGTGCCCAAATATTTCGGTTCAAGATGGTTATATTACTTGTGACTTTTGATGGGATACAATACTATAACTACTTTTCCTTTTTTCTGATCTTAAAAAATAAAATAGATATCAAGCCTCTTGTATGAAAACCGTTCATACTAGTCACATTGCATTGGTGACTGTCCAAGTACTGTATGTATTCGCCATTAACTACAATATTGATACCGATTGGGTTGTCAATGCCACTGCTTTGATCTTTTAGGAAAATATAGAGGAAAATACTTATTTACTCGCTCCCTTCCAAATTATAATTCATATGGCTTTTTTTATACATAGCTTTTGCTATGCACATAAATATACACTTATATCTAGATTCGTACTTCCTCCATTTCAAATTACAAAGTCATTCCAAGAATTTTAGAGAGTCGAAGCATCTCTAAATTTGACCAAAATTGTAGAGAGAACTATAAAATTTTTTTACATCAAATAGGCATACTATGAAAATATAATTGATGAAGAATCTAATGATACTTAGTTGACATCATAAATATTATTATCTTATCATATAAATTTGGTCAAACTTAAGATGCTTTGACTCTCCAAGAATCTTGGAATAACTTATAATTTGGGATGGAGGGAGTAATAAAAGTCGTTAGAGAAATCAAACTCCCGTGATAATTTTTTTTGCCAAGGTATGAGAAGCTCGTGCTCTCCCTAGTCCTCGCTGGAGCCCCTCTCAAGGGCTAGCTTCTGGTCGGGTAACTTTGTAGAGCCCATGAGCCTTCCCCGCGCGCGAGTGGATCTCTGTTTGGTCTTCTCTTGGATCGCTCCACACCGTCTTCACTATATATTGAGCTTCCGGCTAAAATGTCACGGGCCTCGTTCCCTACGGTACAAGCTAGGCGGCCACACCATAAACGCGATTGATGTGATATCACAAGATTACAAAGTCCTTAGTGTATAACAATGGTGTGCGTAAGCACCGAGCTGCAAGAGGTATGCAAACCTCACTAAACACAGTCTATGCCTAGAGCAAAGTGCCAAGAAGGTTGTCTAACTAGGGTATGGACTTTACAAAAGCCCTACGCTAATCATCTAATATATATTTCCTTAAACACTTTTGGTGGCCAGAGTGCTTGGAATAGAGCCTCAACATTCTTCTACAACTTCAGCACACTCTAACATCTCCAAGTTGATCGACCACGGGGGTATATATAGCCTCCAACCCAAATATAGTCATTAGCGGATGACTACCCTCTTGTTAGCGAGCATTGAAACCTTCCGGTGCCCCTAGTGGAGTTTTCTAGTGGTGCCATGTGGACTAGTCATTGTCGACTATTGGGGGCTTCTTTCTCTGTTGCCTTCTCCAATGCACCACCGAAGTTTTCCGGTGCCCCTTCAAACGTTTTGCATAACCTTCTAGACATCCTCCTTTTTCTCGGTGCTCCCCTCTATGTATCACCGGACTTTCTGGTGCTTGAGAAATCTTTATGTAGAAACTCTCATCCAATTGCAGGCCTGGAGCCTAAGCTTCGGTGCTGGCCAACTCCACACCTCCAGAGTTTTTCGGTGAGTGATGGACATTCGGACTAGGTCTTCTGGTGACTAGGCCTTTACTCCAATGCTGTGTGCATAGCGAGCTCTTTTCTTCGCGTGTTTTTATCTCGAGCATCTCCTTCTTGATGCCTTGGACTTCTAGGGTCTTCAACAGAGCTTCTAGTCCTTGCCTTGAGGTGTTGATCACTTGATATTCATGTTGCTTTTATCCAAGCCATCCTCGCATCCACTGAACTAAATACCATATATACTTGCAAACTACATTAGTCGAAATGATCATATCATTTAACCACCAAAATTATAGATGGCCCTGGCTAGGTGCTATTTTCCTTACATGCATGTGCTAAAATTCCTTGATCCGCAATCTTTCTTAAAAAGTAGTCCAAAATACATTATTAGCCTTAGTAGTGTGGTCAAAGCACAAAGTACCTTGTACACCTTCAAATGCTGGCAATCACATTCCTTCTCTACTTAATAGTTGCATTAATTGTAGAACTACGACACTAGTGGAGCCACGAGTTGTTCTTGCACTCTGGCTTAGGAGCGATGTGTGATTTACACGGTTCAGATGACTTAAAGTTTAGCATATAAATTTTCTCACTATTTTGTTGTACTAATCAAAGTATGCAACGCTTTAAGTCAAGATTTTTAAGAAGTTAGCATATTTAGCTCATACCTCACTTAGATGTCACTTTTAACATGAGACAAACTCACGCCATCACGATAAGAGGTATCAACTAAATATCTAACTATACATCTAATCGTCACCAAAAGAACAAACTCATGGTGTGACTCAAGACATTACATACACATGCACACACTAGCATGTTAGGGCCTAGATGCACAAAGATAATACAAGCGTTCATGGAGCGATGTACCTTTGTTATAAGCCTCATAATCTCCATCATGTTCATGATGTTCATTAGTTGTATTTAGTGTTGATGGGTTTATCACTTCTTCATACAAAATCATGTCATATATGCCCACCTCTCTTTATCATGACCTTCACGAAGATATCCTAACCTTGTGCTTGATCTCAACTGAAAGTCCATTGATAGCTCTTGTTGCCATTTTGAGATACTGATTGAGGATATACTTCTTGATATATCAAATGAGAGAGATATAGTCCACCAAGCACCAATACCAGTTGAAATATGATCTTCACAATTTGAAACCAGTTGAGTTTGATTCTTGTATCTCATGACGTCCCTATTTGGATTGAGTTAGTGTAGCATACCCAAGAGAAACTCGTTGTCACCAAGAGACTACACAAATTCACTAAAAGAAAAATGTTAGTCTCAAAGACACAAGACATAGAATGAACCCCTCCTTAATATGTGCATCAAATACTCGAATTACTTATAACATGCACTTGGTTCAATTAAGAGTTTAGAGGGGTTCATCCTATATCTTGGTCAAGGCATAACAAATTTGCAATAATTAAAATTATGCCCAAGAATATATACCACCACCAAGGTAGATAGATCACCACACAAAATTTCATTGATATGACCATCATAAGTGAACTTTAATAATTTGGATAGCCATAGTTTTTTTCTTGATGACTTGTGGTGAACTAGAGCTCTTGTGCTCATTCAAGATTCATATTAAGTCTCTAGTCCTTTCTTTACCTATAGCAACTCACAAAGAGGCCAAAAGGTAAGATTTAAAAATTCGCAAATTGTGAACTAGGAGACGAAGATGTAAGGTCCAAGTGGGAACCGGAACTTTGTTGATTTTTTTTGTCACTCTTGTGTTTTTGAATTGCAATATTTGCTTTCCACTCGATCTCCTTAGTTGTATGTGTTTATGAGTGGTTGAGTCCAGTTACTTCGTGGACTTGCCAGTAGACATCTCCAAACACATCTACACGTTTTGTTAGAGCCTGGTCTCTATAGGCGTGGTGAACTTCGTATTATTCTATGTTGTGCTGAAGTTCCGTGAGATTGTGTGGAAGTTTCGCTGAATTGCGCGGAAGTTCGGCACTCTGCTAATTCGCTGTGATGTTTTTTTTGTTGTTAAGTTTTAGAAACGTCACCTCCCTCTAGGCAACATCAAAGTCCTTTCAATAGTGGTACATGCAGCAATACGCACAACGGGTGACAACTGGATGACGATCGTCTTAGAGAGCGACGGACCATGACCGACTTACTAGGAGAACAAAGCCGCCTCGACCACGAGAGCGAGGTACATGAGGCTGCATGGGGGCGAGGAAGGCGACGGTGGAGGCACTTGCGGAGGTGGAGTGATGGCCAGAGTCACCGGTGGTGGGGGAAATGGCCACCCCAACTGCATCTGCCCTCATTCATTCTAAGCTCTTCTAGCGATGAACATGCGTCACGAACCCATGAATCGGTAGATTTTCATGAGAAGAACTCAGATATAGAGTTTGTTAAGTGGATTTAGTTAGATTTGGGGGTTGCACGTGGAGGCTAACCAGTCGGCGGTCGTCATGAACGGGTGTCTCCCTTCTTTCCAAACACACTATAATAAAATATATCATTTTGTTTGTCTCAAAATATTTCATGTCATTTCTTATTTTTCTACTAAATGTCCTAGATGTACTTATTCTAAGTCACTATCTCGTATTTCGAGAAGCCAAATAATTTCAACTTTAACTAAATACAAAAATATTAATATTTATAATACCGGATAAACATTATTAGGTTAATTATGTTAGATATTTTTAAAGTAAATTTATTTTATTGAAGATGTAAATTTTAATACTATTTTTATAAATCTAGTTAAAATTGAGAACAGTTGACTCATCAAAAACTGAGAGACTTATTTTGGAGTTTTGGACGACGGACTCCGCGTACTTCGGAACCTGCATTTCTGCTGGCTCGCTGATGGGAATGAAGGAAACGCAGGTCCGTAGTCCTACACCACAGGGAGAGGAGAGCAACCGTTACGGACTTGGGCAAGACACGAACCCCGCGGCCCTGCCAGCGACGGCCACGTTGGCGCCACCGGAGGTGGAGATGGAGCCGGAGGACGATGCCATGGCCCTCGCGTCGGACGCCGCGGCGCCTGAGCTCCCATCGTCGCAGCTCGGTGAGCAGATCCCGTGTTTCCCTTTCCCTTTCCCTTTCGAGGGATTTGCGTTAGTCAAATTTGTTGCGGATTTCAACTAAATTGAAGGATCCTTAAAACGCCAGCTCCTTTTTAATTCAGGGATTCAGGTAAAGATTTCCAGGTTTTAAAGTGTGGTCTGAGCTACGTTAACACTGATTTTGGGGTTATGGTACTAAACCTGTTTGGGAGGAGTCTCAGTCCCTATCCAGTAGTAGTAGGTCGTTTTGTACCACTTTGTTTGTCTTGGTTAAGAATTCAGCAAGTGCTGATACCTACATGTTAAATGGAGATCATGTCTGATTGCCCTCAGCACTGTGAACTCTTTGAAGTAGGTTTTAGGGTTTTGTTAGTTTGTCTAGTACTTTGTCCAGTGGGTTCTTTTCTAATTCTTTTCTTGAGTAGCAACAACAAGGTATTTTCACTAACAAGTATAAAATGAAGCTCATTTCATGTGATTAGGTGGAATCTTTTGTCTCTGCTCATCTGCTGACAGTTGGTTCTGGAATTGTATCTGAACAATGCATTGAACATGACTGTTTGCTTCTCTACCAGATTTTTTCAAGACCAGAGTTCGATTGTTATGTGATAGCAACGCGGGAGATTTTGATGCTTGGGTATCATTAATAAATGCTGCAGAGGGAAAATCAGCAGTAAGTGGAATCTTAGTGTTTTATTTAATTTATTTTCATACTTTGCTACTGCTTCTCTTTTTTTCCTCATGTGATGTCCCATGACCACATACAGAGATTGATAGACTGATGTGTTTTCTTTGAGTCCTTTCAATGTTTTTGAATGCTGTGCCAATGTATGTTACAAACATTCATCTGGTTTCTGATGATAATGTTCTTTCAGGATGACATAGAAGTTATAAGCTTGGTATACCATAGCTTCTTGTTGGAATTTCCTTTGTGCTATGGTTACTGGATCAAGTATGCAGCTCACAAGCACGACTATGCACAACCAGATATGTAGTGGATGTTTATGAACAAGCTGTCCATGCTGTACCTCATTCTGTTGATATTTGGGTCAGTTACTGTGGGTTTGGTATATCTGCATTTGAAGAACCTGCTCATATCAGAAGGTGAAGGAAACATCAGTGTGATCTGTGTTTGGAATCAATCTTTCTTCTTATTTACACTGATGCGAAAATTTCCATTCTCCTTAGTCTTACCATTTTCTTCCTTTTTCCATTTTGATCTTTATGCGCAACTTAACATATCATGTTAGCTTGTATGTTTTGAATGCCACTGTTATGACCGGCCTGCAGTACTCCAGGCGCCAAGTTAGTGGCTAATAAGCCATAGTATTTATTTCGTGATTTATATTATTAGCAAATAACTCAAGGGGTTAATTAGCAAAAGGATTATTCATTAGCATAAATACTTGTAATCATGATTATTGGAGATCAAGCAGAAACAGATTGTTTCCGGCTTCCTAAAGGGAGCCGGGAGACCTAAACCCGCCTCCTCCTGTTCGCCTGAACTCGCGAGACCTAAACCCTAGCCGCCGCCTCCTCCTGTTCGCCTGAACTCGCGCGACCACGGCGCCCCGTCGCCGCGCGACGTTCAAACCTTGCCCTCCAATCTCCCACGGCTACAACCTCCGATCGACGAGACACAGAGGACCGCTGCCTATCAGCCACAAATTGAGAATTCGTTCAGCTATAATGGATATGTTTTTTATTATTAATTCCTGACTTCTACCTAGTAGATAGAACTGAAAGATTAGGGCAGAGAGAACATTGTTTTGACAAATTGTTACTAGAAAAAGTTGAGCATTTTCTTACATGGAGTAAATTTTCAATACGGGTATCAGATCAGACTAGAGAGGCTTTGAGCATGCTGATCAAAGAAGTGAAGACCTCGGGAAGAGAAATAACGTATTGCTGGTAGCCTGGTACCCTCGTTGAAATATATTAACCATTGAAATCTCTCTGTCCCCTCCCCCACCCATACCATCCACTCACCGATTGAAATTTGTTGTCAAGACTTATATTATAAGCATTATAACCTGATAAATTTTTCATATGTCGTGAAATTGGATTATACTGAATTTGTGACAACATTCTCTTTTGGAATTAACCTGGAATGTGAAATGGAAGGATTCTGTTTAAATGGATACACATGACATCTCAGAATTCAATATGGATCTTGCCTTCAGAAAATTATAAATGTGCAAAATGTTGAATAAGTATCCTTTGATGTTTTGATATAATGTTGACCCTTTTCTGATATGGTCAACTTATTCTCAAGTTTTATCATGTGTAACTTGTGCTTTTCTGATGTGGTCAACTTATTCTCAAGTTTTATCATGTGTAACTTGTGCATATCTCGTACTAATACCTCTTCATACATGCCAGTTTATTCGAGAGGGCTTTATCTCTTGTTGGAAAGGACTATTTGTGTTATCACCTGTGGGACATGTATATAGAATTTGAAACCTCTCAGAAGCAGCTGATTCAGCTTGCCACCATTTTAATCAACACACTGAAATTTCCCACAAAGAAGTTGCACATGTATTATGAAAGGTATATCCTCATATGATATCACATTGATTTAACATTTGCACTTTAGGAATTATGGTACTGCAATCGGGCTGTCCTCACTATTATTATTATTACTTATGAGTATGAAGGGTTTTCTGCTGCTCTTGTTAGTTGTTATGCTGCTCTTTTACTCTTCATACTAATGGTAAATGATAAAACATAACTTCTTTTCTGTTAATCTCCAATCCTGAATCATATTATCAATATGATTGATGACCTGGTTATATAATAGTAAATTGTTTTTTGAGTTAGTCAATGCAGAGCTGACAATAAACTGCCACCTCCTCTTGATATGTGGATTCAATGGCAAATAGCTAATCTCCAGTTACTACTTACAAAAGAATATGCTAGGATGTTCGAGAAATCTAATTCTTGTACTTCAACTCAAATGAAATCTTTTGCAGACCATAGCAAAATGCTGACCTTACCGATCAAGGTAACAATACATCTAATAGGATTGCCAAGAGATTTATGCAGGCCCTTAAGTTCTATATTAAGAATTGCTTTGGATAACTAGGAGATGTTGATACTAGAACTGTCCATGCCTTCACACATCAAAGTTTCTTAATTTATTGAGTTATTTTGTATCTTACTAATAGACCTCTTTTCTTTCTTTCTTGGGATTGTAAATGTGCCAGTTTTAGAAAGTTTGTAACATTATTGGAACAAGAGGTGACAAGTTGCGTTTCTGAAATTTTATCAGAAGAAACACATGCTTCTGAAATGATAGGCGCTGAAGATTCTGAATTGGATATATCAACTATTATTGCTGACTTATTTGACCAAAAAGGTGGGCATCTTAGTCCTGAAGCATTGAAGCATTACTTATCTGCTGGGGAGAGGCTCTACAAAAGGTCCAGCAAGATTTACAAAGAAATCTGTTACTTTGAGGCATCCATAAAAAGGCCTTTTTTTCATGTCAAGCTACTTGATGATGATCAGCTTGAAAACTGGCACCAGTATCTTGACTTTGTGGAGAAGTATGGGGATTTTGACTGGGTATTATTTTTAGTAATTTTTTTATGCAGAAGGCTGGCTTCATATATTCTATTCAAGAATCTGATTACTTCATGTCCTTGCCTTTCATTTGCAGGCTGTAAAACTTTATGAGAGGTGCTTGATCCCTTGTGCTAATTATTCGGAGTTTTGGATACGCTACTCAGAGTATGTCGATGCTAAAGGCGGCCGAGAAATTGCAAACCATGCTCTGGGTCGAGCATCATCATGTTTTGTAAAGGTATCACTTGGTAACATACTTGGCATTTTACATCTTCCCATAGTTTTGAGATTGTGTAAGGACCCTATGTACTTGTGTGTTATGTGCATAGTTGGATATGGATCTAAGGATGAAGGGTACAGTACCTGCTCTCATCTTACTACTGGCAGGGGCACAGAGCTCCTCTGTGTGGTAGTGGCTTTTGAGGCATGGTTGAGGGAGAGACTAGATGTTATGACGGGCGTCACGTACCAGTGCAGGGGCCGAGCAAGCGGCTAGGACGGGCGGCAGCAAGGGGTCCTAGGCGCCCAGGATTTGTTATCTTTAGATATTATTCTTATTTCCTTAATTATAGGATCTATTAGATTGAGCAAGCAAGGCAAATATTCTTGCCTGGCCTCAAGGGCCATCTACCATGACTCCCAGCCTCCCTCACGTTCTCCTCCTCCTCCAGCACGCCTAGGGTAGCCGCCGCCGCCTCCCTGCTTGAGCCACGGCGCCCCAGCGCCGTCATCCTCGCCCCCGACCTCCAATCTCCTATCCCTACGCTCTTCGCAGCCGCGGTAGGATCAAGGATCCTATCACTAGATAACTTCTTTATATAGATACAAAACTCTCTTAGCAATATTTTAATCTATATGATAACTTCCTCAAAAAAGAAAAAATCTATATGATAACTGATATAATTCATAATCCTTTTGTTGCCAAAATTAATCATTTTGGTATAGGAACGGTCTTAAGAACTGTGACTATTGATCACTAATTTTTAATGTAATATATCAATATAGTATCATGATACTACTTTTCAAGTCCAATCTACTCCCTCTATTCCGTTATACAGGGCGCTTTCGCGTTTTTGCTTTTGGCCATATTACTAGGCGGGCTGAAGTATCGAGGTGGCAGGTAATTGCTCAAGACAGCTGAAGCGTCACATGCATGCATGGGGGCCTAGCACCGAAGTGCTGGATGCTCTCGGAATGAGTTAATTTGGTGGAAGAGCCAGGGAAGAATTTACAAACGCGGTCTGAGTACTGCACAAGAAACGGAATGACAGACAGACTTCATGGCCAGCGGTGCGCATAATTACGCGAGTTAATATGTTTGCATGCGCGATGGACGGACGTCTTGGTATCTGTAAATACCCTTGTAACGCCCTGTAAAATGGAACGGAGGGAGCACGTAAAGCAACTCAAAACATATTTATTTGTGACTGAGGGAGTACGTAAGATACTAAATAACTGATCATAGGATACGAATTAATTGTTTTGTGTAAACATATATACATTCTGGATAAGATAAAAGACCTCACAATCCTCACTACATCCTGCTACAGTTCCATAGGAGCTAGCAGTCCAATTTTCTGAAAAAACAGTGTACTACACTTCCCTCACGACCACACAGGAAATCTGCAGGGGTGTTAATGGTTTCAGGTGTTTGATCACAAAGTGGGCATGCCGTGGGGCTTGGCTATTCCTTTTCTGACAACCTATTGCAGTCCAACAACGATTAAGGATAGCAAGCCATATGAAATTTTATTATTGTATGGGAACCCAGATTTCCTAATCCACTTCCATGGTGCGAATCGAATGGTTCCAACAAAGAACACAATCACTTTTGATACGTCTCCTTCCCTCAACTCTGATGCTCAACAATGCTGGAAGATATTTATTTTTTTTAAAAATGAGGGGACACAGTTCCAAATAGCTGCACCTAAAAGTTGTATTCGTTCCTCTTCCTTGCTCAGTATGGTGAATTGGTGACTGATAACCATTGTAGATTTATTGATTTTATTCTATTGAAGTTCATTGCCTCTCCTTTGAATTGAGAACCTCTATCACTCTGCAAGCCTCTACTCGAATGCTTTCACATTATTATGCTTTATATGAATCTTTCATATGCCATGCCTGTTGTGACTTGGCACGGTTTCTGATTTTATGTACCCTTTTTGGCACGTGAGTCAAGCTTTCATTAAATTTATGGACCATTAGAATTTTGTCACAAGCGTTTCAGAACCTAATGGATGGAAAGATTTAGAACATGCACTTTTCTGCTAGCAATACCAGTCTCATTCTTATTTTATTCTCTTTTGTTTATTTCCATCCAAGCAGGAAGTTCCAACTTTCTGCATGTATTATGCCTTGTTTAAAGAGCAAATTGGTGATGCACTGGCTGCGCGCTCTCTTTTTACTAAAGCAAGAAGTTACTTCAGTTCAGGGTTTTATGCAAATATTAATAGGCTGGCCAACATGGAAAAACGAATGGTATACACCAATACATTGTCCCTTTTGTATCTTTTATAAAATTGTACCCTTTGCCAGAATATTATCCTCTTACAATGTTTAAATGTTCATAGGGAAATACTAAAGCAGCTTCTGAGATATATCAGACAGCAATTGAGGATGCAATGCAGAAGAAGAATATAGAGTTGCTTCCTGACCTGTACAGCAATTTTGCTCAGTTCATATATGCAGTAAGAACAAAGTACTTTGCCATGGACTTCGAGTATGCTATGCCCATTTCAGTTCTTATACATGCTTTCTGCAAAGACATCCTTCAATTCCATGAAATGAAATGTGCAGCTTGTAGGTTGTTCATTCTTTGTCAAACATGTATTCACATATCTGCAATTGACTGGAATTAGATTAATATATCTGTGTGATCAATGTTTGTAGCAATTTCTGTCTCTACTTCTAAAGTAAGATGTGAGAAACTGTTGATTTTTCTGTTGTATGTGCATTATCAATGTGTGTAACAAAATCTGTCTCAGCTTCTATGGTAAGATAGTAAGATACAGGAAACTGTTGATTTTTTATCTAACATATTCTTCGTCGCTAGTGTCTGTATTATACTATTACGCTTTCCTTTTCTTTTTTATTTTAGGCTGACATGTTGTTCAATACAGGCAAGTCATAGCATTATTGAGGCTAAACAAGTCTTTGTCAAGGGAATAAATCGGGCACCCTGTAAACCGTTGATTAAGGTCTGTAATTTTTTGAGTACAGTTTGTACAGTATTTACCTTTACTTGTACATAAAGAAGCCTTGGTAATTTTATTTTTGTTATTTTTCTGATTAGGGATTCATACAGTTCATGAGTACACATGGAGGGCCTAAAGACATACCTCTTCTTGATTCTGTTATTTCTAATGCCGTGACTCCAGGATCTGATGTATCTACAGCCTTAAGCACAGAGGACCGTGAAGATATCTCATTGTTGTTTTTGGAGGTTAGAGAGTTTCCAATAGCTAAGCAATTATTTTCCTCCCCACATGTTCCTTTAGTAGGGGGTGTACAAGTACCTGTTGCATTTGCAGTTTGCAAAATGGCCATCTATGTACTTGTGCAGCTCCTTCACTTCAATCACCAATCAGATGGTGACTTGGATGAAGTAGGGGTGTGCACAGGATATGATCCTCTTCAATATGTACTGGTACAACGCACTTGTGTTACACATGATGGAAAAGCTCACACAAATAATTTTGATATTTTTTAAATTGATTGATTAATAACTAAAATAAAGTCGTCTTTTGTTTTGCTTTCTCTCCACTTGAAATGTACCAACCATGTATTTTGCATTGAACACGTCCCATCAAATATTTATTGACAGGTAGATATTAACTCTAACTAGGAGCAATGACAATGGATGTGGTCCATTAGACGGTCAACAATAAATTATGCATGTTTTTTCTTTGTTTATTTGTCACGCAGGAGCTTTTTTTTTTTTGTTTATGGTTTGGTGGTTGGGATTGGGGATTCAAAAATATGTATATGTCATGCATTTATATATTATTATACTGAATCAAAATAGCGGGCCTGGTGCAAGCGGTAGAGTCTTACCGCCTGTGACCGGAAGGTCCCGGGTTCGAGTCGCGGTCTCCTCGCATTGCACAGGCGAGGGTAAGGCTTGCCACTAACACCCTTCCCCAGACCCCGCACAGAGCGGGAGCTGGGTACGCCCAATCAAAATAGCCTTGTGCTATAGCCTGTAGTATCTTAATGGTTGGTTTGGGGACCTTGAACCAGAATAGGAATCCTCTGCTTATCAAATGGTAGGACAAATGAATCAAGTTTAGTACTGGGTTGTCTTGTCACTACTCAATGATTATATTATCTAAGAAAGAAATATTTGTGTACCCTTGCTTGATCATTTCTAGCCAGAATTGCATTCTTCATTTTGATTTTGATGATAGTTGTCATCTTTTTTTTTTTAATGTTTGTGCTACTTTCCATGAACGCCTTACGCATAACTAGCATTCTCGGAGTACTAAGTTACCTATTCTCCTCTTGGCCATAAAAATTTTGGTGTTTTTTACAAAGACAGCCAAAACTTTCTTACATCAAACTCCCTGTACATGTACAGATTTAATTTAGGACATCAAAATTGCATGTCTGTTAGAAGTTTTTTTTTTCATAATGTATAATCTTCCACATTAAGTTTTTAAGTCTAGTATGTGGAGGACCACTAAAGCAACTGCAAGTCCGCAACAAGCCAACAATTACAACAAAGCCTTTTAGTTGGTTAGTTCCAAGCAGTGGCAGATCACACTCTAAATTTTAGGTGGTGCGAGCACACATGACAAATTTAACTCATACTCGCTCTGTCCTACAATATAAGGTATCCAAGCGTTCAAAGTGTGTCCTAAATTATAAGGGATTCTAGGTGAATTAACCCTCCATCTCAGTTTAAGAATGAAGCATTCACATGCATACCTACCATTAATTTTAATTTCTATTACTAATCCAAATATGGTAGCCAGGAAGGGTTATATGCGTCATTTAGTTTATCACATAATATGTCTTAGAATTCCTAGGATACCTTATATTCCAGGACAAAGGTAGTAGTATAAATGATCGCGTACGCATACCACATTCTTATTAAAATCACACAGATAAGAGTACGAATGGTTAATAAATGGCATAGTTAAAGTTTGAAGGTGGCACCTTCCATAAAAAGGGTATTGGTCTTTAACACCGTAATATAATTCATTAATTCAACATTACCAAGATCCAATAGGTAAAAGAACCAACCTGTTTGTTTAAAAACTAAATCAGTTAGTGTGTATTATATGGGACAATATATCTCAAATGTAGTAAATCGTTGGACACCGTGGCGGTATGTAGGAGGGAGGGAGATGCGGCTGAGGAAGTTATGGCCTGTTGAGCTGTGGCCTACTGCCTATCAATTGGGCTATACCACCAGTCCATCAAGGCATTGTGGGGTGGTGGCGGGGGGGGGGGGGGGGGGGTGTCTGTTCCTCCTCGCCATGGGTACCTGACCCACCCTGCTATAGAGGGGGCTCTGCCTCTTGTTCCAAGCAAGTTGGGATAAGCTAGAGACAAATGCAAGAAGAGGTAATAGTAATGATAGTAAAAGGGGCTGAGAGACTTGGTTGTGGCTCACAGGTTGAGTGATGTAAATTGCTGACCACTAAAAGTGGAAGAAATATTTTTGGGGACTAGAGGAGTAATAGCATTTGGTTGAGCCATGTGCTAAATTGTTGTCGGAGATTAGGCAAGATGCTTATTTACCTACCGATCCATCTTAGCTAATGGATATTCCCTTTTTTTTTTATTTTCTGAATCGAAGGGATGTTCCCTCCTTGTCATTTATTTCTGTTGAATCTCAATTATAGTTGATTTTTTTTAAAGGCGAATCTTAAGTGTCATGCTGGGATAACTTGAGATAATTGTAGTCTTTGCTTAAAATTTGCTCTGTTTCGCTGGTCATGCTGAGGGGCATGCTGCTGTTACAGCAGGAACTCTAAATAGATTGTCTCCTGTATAAGCTATATTGCATGCCTCATTTGTTTTCCTGCTCACAGTTTGTTGACCTCTATGGGGGCATTAAAGAACTCAGAAAGGCATGGGCTCGGCATAGTAAATTGTTTCCTCACAGCACTGGGAACATTTCACGGCATTATTCTACTATGGGCAATAGCCTTCAAGAGACTAACAAGAGGAGAAAAACAGAACCTTTGATGGTTGCTCGTGATCATTCCTTAGCACCCAAAGCTGATGATTATTCTCTTAAAGTTGATAAGGAGAGTGAACCACAAGTGGACAAGGACATTGTGGATTCAGGAAAAGGACATAGGGATGCAGGAGAGCAGAAAGCTTTAGAGATTGTCAATTCACATAAAGAGACCATCAGGGCAGCTCAGGAATGCACTGACATGGTTCACAGTGAACATATCCTGGACAAAAATGGAATGCAGAAGCAAATGAATTCACATGCCAAAGAAGAGACTAATCAAGATCTAATCTTGCATGAACAAAATGATGAGAAAACAAATTCTTGTGACGTGGAGGCTCCTGTAGCTGAGTCAGGTGACTGTGATTCTCCTTCCAAAGCAATCGCTAGCTCTGAGAACATCAATTCTCAGGGCAAGGTCATTGTGGAATCTGCAAGCAGCCATCTAGAAACAGTATGCTCCAAATATGACTCACTGTCTGGATCAAACATGCACAAAGAAGGAAATTCTGCTGGTCCAGCTCGAATGTCTCCAGAGCTGGAGGAAAGGCAACATGTGGAGGTTCAGGTAAAAGTCGACACAGAGCATGATTTGTCTGTCAGTAATGCAAACCTAGAGAGGTCTTTTGATGGTCCAAATCCAACTGAATGTGACAAGGAAATCTCTGCCATTGGTCATGGGAGTCAAGACCATATTCAATCTTCGCAGTCACATGAACTCTCAGCCTGTGCAAAACCTTTGAGCTTGGACTTAGCGAAAACAAAATCGGATACTGTCGGTTTTCAAGCTCAACTTCGACACCAGGTGGGGAATGCTCAAACACATCAATCTAATAACCTTTCACAAAACATGCAACAGCAAGAGCTTACAATGGCTCAGAATGTTCAAACATCTGCACAGATTCATGATCAATTGTTTGCACAGTCTAATCACGGAAACCAACAATATCTCCAAGTGATGCAAGGGTATGCATCACAAATGGGGCAATATTACCAGCAACAACTGTATTACCTGCAGGCTCAGCACAATCAACAGATGCAGAGTCTTCAACAGCAACAGCTTCCAACTGAGCATCTTCAGCAAAATTTTATGCAGCAAGTACAACAACTGAACCAGCAAATGGTACTTTGGCAGCAACAAGTGCAGCAGCAGCAACAAGTAGTACTACAACAGGCACTGCCAGTCCAGCAACTTCCTGATGAAAAACAGGGTCAGTGTCCTTCCGGGGATACCAAACACGACCAAAATAAACAGCAGCAACAAGCTCCTCAAATGGATCAACAAAGCCAGCAGTTGCAGCAACAACAGCTTCTTTATCTCCAGCAACAGCAGCAGCAGCAACAACAAATGTATCTTATACAGCAACAGCAGATGTATCAACAACAGCAAGCTCAGCAACAGCAGCTCTTTCAGCAGCAGTTAATGCAACAACAACAGTATGTACTGCAGATGCCACAGCAACAGCAAGACTCAGTTCAGCAGCAACAGCAACAGCAGCAACTGTTTCAGCAACAACAGCAGCAGATGATGCTTCTTCAGCGACAGCAGCAACAGCTTATGCAACAACAGATCCAACAGTACTTGCAACAGCAACAAAACCAACAAGGGCCCAAGGATCAGGCTTACAAGTCAAATCCTCAGGTACTTACCCAAATTCTGATGAAATACAATAAGTATGGGCATACACATGATTGTAGCCCATGCTGTACTCTAACTTTTATTTATTTATTTTGAACAAATTCGAACTTTAAAATTTTCAGCAGTATTTCAACACCAAAGTTCAATTCTCTTGTCATTCTTTTATGTTAATCCAGCTCCCCTGCCTTTCTTCAAGGTGTTGCACTTCAGGATGCTTCATCATAAAAAAGTTTATCAAATCAAACATCAAGTTTTAATGTGATCAAATATCTAACTTAGGTATAAACTTTGGCTCTTTGCTGTATGGAAAAAGTTAATATGCATAGGAGAGGGCTTGTTCAGCATGTATCCATTAGTTAGTTAGGTTATAATTCTTATGAACCAATCTAACTTCTGTCCAGAGGGTGGGAAAGGGAGAGTCAAATGGAAAATGGGACAAAGTATCTTGTTGATTCAGCTAATGGATATCCACTCTTGGTTTTGTTATGTTTATATATTTATACCATGGATGTCCTCTACTCAGTTTCATGGACCTTTTTACAGAGATAACTACTTAACCAAACCCCTTGTTTAAGATATTTTTCCTTGTAATTCAAATTGAATCAGAATCCAATATTCATCTGAGTAATGCTACACCGGCAAAAATGTTTCACAAAAAACTCGACTTGCATTGCATGCTAACATGGACAACAACAATCATGCACGCTGATCTGAACTTACCAATTGAAAGGTTTCCTGTGGTGGTTGGTGGTGGGGAAAAAAAGCCTCGACCAGGTGGCATATCCCCCTGATTTTGTTTTTATGAAGTTTGAAATTTTGTTTTTATGAAGTTTGTGCCAGCCTTTTGAACTTGAACTGGTGACAGGGGTTTCATTGACCCATGGATTTGAACAGTCTCACCAGTGTAACTCAATCGGGAGAATTTGACTGGTGGTGGTGGTGGTTCATGTTAGCAGAGCACATAAGTAGAGTTTTGTAGACCATTTTGTTAGGTAGCATTACTCTATTCATCTTGAACACATCTGACTATATGAGTTAAATTCTATTCTTGAGGAAAGGGTCATGTAGGGCATCCTCTCCCAGCTTAGTATGTGACGTGTGCCACTGGTATCAATCAGTCAGAGCACTCATACGGCCAGCTTAGTACCCCCGAGTGTCTCCAAGTTATCTTTGATCTCCCTTCTCTTTTCTTGTGCCTCTCTTCTATTTGGCTCTGACCCTTGCTGTTGGCATTCTGTTTGGCTCAAGTGCCGTCCGGCACCATCAATGGGGGCTGGGAAATCAGCCAATTACCTCTCATTTTTTCTTGTTGCTTTCCAAACTTACCCTGACATTTGCTATTTGTGATGACATGATTGTCTCTGCTTCTGAGATAATGCGTTAAGGAGCAATAATCATGATCATCACCACTTCCATGATGATGGCCACATTTGCCCACCTGAAGTCCATATTGGCTGACATGACAACAATGGACACGCCCAGGGGGGCTGGTGCTCTCGTTAACTAAAATAAAATATCATGTTGCAATGTTTCAAAAAATCATGTATGTAGTACATATAAAGTTAAGTATAGTTGCAACAATTCAGTTTAAAAATCATCATAGATGTCAAGAAACAAAGTAGACAAGCAGTCAACCTGGCACTGTTCATCATGTGCTGACAGTGACACATGTTTTTTGAATCTCAACATCGAAGATAAATTTCAAACTGAATTGTTGTGGCTACACTGAACTTTAGGTGTACTACATACATGATGATTTTTTGAAACATTGCAAAATGATATTTTAGCTAAAGAGGGTGGCAGGGCACCATATAATTTTCAAATACCATATATGGTGTTGGCTGCCGTGCCAGTTAGTAGTTGTAGATTTTTCAAGAGTACAGAGTTAGACAAAGCAAAAATGAGTCTTTGATTTAGCAAGTGCTTTGTTATGTATGTTTCTAGTTTCGAGGAGAATTTGAGCTGGCACTGAACCAGGATCTCATGTCAGATTTTGCTATTGTCTTGGTTACTTTGCTTGCAAACTGAAGTGTCAGATGAGCAGCTCATTTGCTGGTTCATTGATTTCTTGCTGTCTAATTCAAAACTTCACGAGCAACCCTGCCTGCATGCGCAGGGAACCTATCAATATCTCGTCTGCCATTTGTTCTGAGATATTATCCCCTTTTCAGGATGGAAGGAACAGGCAAATGGAGCATGGGTAACTGTCTGAAGCTTCACAGGTGACATTAATTATCTACTTGTCATACACATTACAACAGGTTCAATCATGTCGTTGGGCATACTTGAGGCTATTGTTATCAGTATTAGTTAATTATTATTTTTCACAATTTTCAATCTTGATTTCCCTAAAAAAAATTCTCAAATCCTGCTGTACTTGTCTCCTGTAGAGTGATGGCTCCAAACTGCGCAGCGGTGAACAATCTGAATTATCCTACCCGTCAACTCCTCAGTCACAACGTTCAAATCACTGAATCATTTAGGGTCATGTGGCTTCTAATCAAAAGGCCACATAAGATTTAAGTACCATCTGGTAATGTATCAACGAGCATACTTAAGAAACATGGAAGGCGCATATCTATTTCCTTGTATTGCTGCCAGTAGATGCTGATTCCATACCGTGTCCGAGTGGTGATGAAGCTTCAACTCCATGCTACAAATTTTGTAGTGGTGGGTGCACTGCGCACCTCAACTGACAGTTGAGGTGACTTGAATCACCAAGAACTAGTCTCTTTGGAATCGCATCCTGCAAAATGTCAGCTATGGTCGATAGTGGTATGAGATTCTCAGTAATGCTCACATGTCGTGGAAAAGGGGCGATGTGATGTGTTGGAGAGTTGAATTGCTGGGTCTTAGTGAGGTGCACTCGATTTTATCAATTGAGACTTGAGTCAAGTAGGTATATCAAGAATATATTTGGATGAAGCGTGTGATATCCTGTTATTGCTCTTATATATAAACCGTATATATATATATATATATATATATATATCCTGTATGGTATAGCACTTGGTATCTGCACTGGCACAATAGGGCTGAAAAGAAAGCAGCTAGCAACAGCCTGGAAATTTACAGTTCTGACGTCAACCTGGTGGTACACATGTACACATTTTTGCCTGGATCAAACAGCCGTCGTGCTCATTCGTACACAGGAATTCACTTGGCATATTAGCGATGTGTCAACGTCACAGGTGGTAATGTTAGATACTGATCTTAATTGTTTATTTTAAGTGTTTACCTGCCCAAGCATACTAATTTCAGGAATTGTAATATTAGATTCTATGTTTTTATGGTTATATTGTGTTAGGTACAGAATCTGATTAGAAAATGAGATATAAAATGCCCCGTGTTAGGACATGTACATACCAAGATAGCCCATAAACCATATTTCCATTCTCTCCAAGGTTTCATATTCTCCAAATGGTATAAAATGCATGTATGTCTTGATGCAACTCCAATTGAGTTTAATGTTGGATGATACCAACATCTCATGCAACTCCATTCATCAACGCATAACTCCTTGATTGACAAAAAGTGCGTTAAACTTAAACCGCAACCAACATCTCAAAGCAATAAACGACATCAACTCTGATAAATAAAGACAACAGCAAGGTATAATTAGGCAATCATGAAGGTAAACCATAGAGTCTGTCTATCTCCCATTCGAGTGTTTGAGAGGCTGGGAGCACTCGATTTTTTTACTAGTCTTCTTCCTCCTGCTGCCCACCGCATTCACGGCGGCCACCCTCTATCCCTCCCCCCGCCCTCCTCCCGCCGCTGTTTTCTTCCCCAACTCCGCCGAGCTCGACCGCCGCCATCTTCTCCAACTCTGGCGAGACTCTCCCGCCCTGACCTGGCCCGACCGCCGCTACCAACGCCAGGTCTTCTAAACTGCCTGGCTTGCTTATAAAAGGGGCGAATGGCTTGTTTATTTGATTAAGCATGAAAAATAAATTTTTTTATATAAACCAAAAATTGTTGAAAGTAAGATTTGCTAATAATAAAGCCTTGGAGTTTTAGTTATGCTTGTACATGCATAAAGTTGTTTTAGAAAATGAATTTGTGGAGGTTAAAATAATAACGAAAGTGTCGCTGGCCAATCAGCTCACCTAACTCGCCGGTACGACGCGTGCGCTGATGGATGAAAGTTGGCCGAGCTGCTGTTGCCGTGGACTGCCTTGCTTGTCCTGCTGCTCGCATCGTCCCCGCTAAGCGCCACCGTCCAAATGTCAATATCGTCGCCCTGTTTTTCTCCGTCTCACTCTCTCGGTGTCTGCTAGACCTACCTCTGTCTTGAGTGTTTTTCGGGCCGAGTCTAGTCGTGCCTGCCTCGGCTGGTCCCTGTCCTCTTGGCGTCCTTGCTGCCTCTTCTGCCCCTGTCTGTGTCTGTCTCTGAATTGCTCTTTTGAGCTAAGCAACCGACGTGCCTGAGTCAGAAGCACGTGGTCCTGCTTCTGAGTCAACTCGTGTCAATTTCGTCGACATGACCAGACCGAGCAGGCCAGGCCACTCCGTGCCGCTGCGCTGTTGCTGCCTACCTTGCTTCTTGAGGACGGCGAGTTGCTGCTCGCTCTGCTTTTTCTTTGCCATCGACCGCATGCACAGGCGCTCACTCCTTTTCCCTCCCCGGGCCTCAGCATGTGTACCGACGCCAGCTCCTCACACCCGAGCGCGCCCGCGCCCTCGGCTCTGCGCTGCCCGTGCCGCGTCCCGCACGCCACCATCGGGCGCGTCACCCTCGCACGCCGTGCCCGCAGCGTCGCCCCGACGCGAGCACCGACGCCCTCCTCGCTTCTCTCTCGCGCTGCTCGCACGGGTTCGTCTGCACCGCCTCGGCGCTGCCCCTCCGTCTTCGTTGCTTTTCCGAGCCGAGCACCCACCTAGGCGGCGTCCGCAGTCGCAGCGCCTCCCACCGCACTCGGCTCCGCCGCCTCCCTTGCTCTCCCTTCCATGCGCCTGTGTGCTGCAGCGCCGCTTCACCTCCACCCCGGTCTTTCCCCGCGTGCGTGCCCCGGCCCCGCGCGAACCTACGGTTCCTTCGGCGCGCCCGAGCCCTGTGCGCCCGAGCTCCTCGCGCCCCCGCGCAGGGCCTGCTGCGCAGCAGCGCTGCTCTGCCTTGGTCCGCGCTGGCAGCGCCCTCGAGCTCCCACCACCGTAGCCGCAGCGCCTCGCTGGCGTCCGCGCCCCTCCCCGCGTGACCACGTGCGAGCGCCGCTACACCAGGTCGCCCCTGAAAGGATCAAGATGCCCAAGAGGGGGGGGGTGAATTGGGCTAATTCTAAATTTTTTCGCAATAAACAAGTCCTATGGTTAGTCTAATTAACCCCTTGTGCCTAGAGAAGTGTTTCTATTGATCTAACGTACAAAAGTTTAGCAACCTAGTTCCAATGCTACTCTAGCATGGCAATTCTAGGAATATAAATGACAAGAATTGAAATGCTCAAAGTAAATGCTCAAATTAAAGAGAGGAGAGGAAACGCGGCGATATTTTGCCGAGGTATCGGAGAGTCGCCACTCCCCACTAGTCCTCGTTGGAGCACCCGCGCAAGGGTGTAGCTCCCCCTTGATCCGCGCAAGGATCAAGTGCTCTCTACGGGTTGATTCTTTGACACTCCGTCGCGGTGAATCACCCACAACTGCTCACAACTTGAGTTGGGTCATCCACAAGCTCTCCGGATGATCACCAAGCTCCCAATGACCACCAAGCCGTCTAGGTGATGGCGATCACCTAGAGTAGCAAGCACGAACTCTCACTTGACCACGACAAGCCTAGGGAGAAGGGTGGATGCACACTTTGCTACTCTTGATCTTCACTAATGAGGGCCCTCTTTGGATTCTCAAATCTCAATCACCTCACTAGGACCTTGCTCTTCTTGGCACTCTCTAAGGTGTGTTTCAGCTGTTGAAATGAGCAAAAGTCACTCCACACACGAGTGGAGCTTCTATTTATAACATGAGCTGAAAAACGAACCGTTATGTGCCTCTGCGGGGTGACCGGATGCTCCGGTCATGTTGACCGGACGCTCCGGTCAGTTCAACCCGCACACTAGTGTTTACGTATTGACCGGACGCTGGCAGGGTCCGGTCACCACTGACCGGACGCATCTGGTCCCATTTTTTCCTCACTGGATGCTTACTGTACTCGACCGGACGCTGGATCCTCAGGGTCCGGTCACCACTGACCGGACGCATCCGGTCACAGATTTACTCTTCTGGAACCTTACTGGAGTCGACCGGACGCTGCCTCTCAGCGTCCGATCACTTGACCACTCAGCGTTCGGTCACACCAGACGCAATCTCCTTGGTCAAATGAACTGACCGGACCCTGCGGCCAGCGTTTGGTCGCACCGGAGCCAGCGTCTGGTCAGTATTTGACCCTCCATTCACTTCCAACTCTCGATCATACGTGAATGAAGTTTGCTCCATTGGATCTTAGGCATATGTAGGAGCTACCTAGCGCTAGTTTTAACAAGTGTGCACCACACCTAACTCACTAGACTCATCTAGGTCAAGCTACCCGTCCATACCCCCCTTAATAGTACGGCCAAAGGAAAAACAAAGTCCTAAACTACTCTAAGTGTCTCTTCAACTCTAATCGACACTTAGAACTAGTCATCCTTAACCTTGTCGTCCATCCTTTGAAAACCGAAACGATTTCCATCGTAGGGGCATGACAACCATGATTGCCCAATCGATCTCCATTACCGTGACCTAACTTAATTGCCTTTGCAAAACACACGTTAGTTACAGTAATCTACCATTGTCATTAATCACCGAAACCCAATTAGGGGCCTAGATGCTTTCAATCTCCCCCTTTTTGGTGATTGATGACAATACAACCTCGAGTGTGTGAAAGAGTTGAGGTTTTTAACATGCTTGGATCATATAAGCTTTTAGCAATAAGAACAAAAGAGTTAGTCAAGCTTATATAACCCAAGCCATCATGATGTACTCAAATGATATGAAATAAGCATGAGTACAATAAGAAAGACTCATTTGCATCGGAGTAAAACCGCGGAAGCAAAAGCAAATGAGCATAACACAAGTGATATGACATATCAATGAATACAAAGTAGAGAGCACACATGTCATATATCACAATCACGTAGATATCACTATCACATAGATATAATAGTATGTATGAAAGTAAACACACGAATGCATAATAGTAATAGAGTATCACACAAATAAACTCCAAATGTAT